CTTGGTATCAATTGGTCTGGCCTCTGTATCGAGAACTTGGTATCAATTGGTCTGGCCCTGCCAAGGCCAACGCAGTTAGTCATTACCATTTGTTGTTGTCACTGAGTCAGTTCCAACTCATAGCGACCCTGTATAACGTTTACAAGGAGTAGCTGGTGAGTTGGAATCACCAACCTTGTGCTTCAAATCATCATTATGGTCCAGTGCCATTACATTATTGTTTTTATTAAGTGCCGTTGATTCAGTTCTGACTCATAGCAGCCCCGTGTAGGATTACTGAGGAATAGCTGGTGAATTTGAACTGCCGAGCTCATGGTTTGAATCGACCTTGCGGTCCAGTGCATCATTCTGCAGTGCCACAGTAAGGTGAGTTAATTAAATGTTTGACCAAATATAGCAGGCTAATTTTTAAGTTGATGATTTTGTATGGCCCACAAATGATGTTATAAATTTAGGCAGAAAACAGGTTCCCCACCTGCCCTAGGGAGACCTGGGTTCCATTTCCAGTCAAGGACTCTTATGCGTAGCCAGTACCCCTCTGTCAGTGAAGGCTTACATGTTGCTATGGTGCTGAACAGGTTAAAAATCAGCCAATGAAAACTGGATGGATCACAGTGGTCTGATCTACAACCAATCACGGGACGTTAAGGCCTATATAACATTTCGTTCTGTTGGGCCTGGGTTGCCAGGAATAGGGGCTAAATTGACAGCAGCTCAAAACAACAATAACTAACAACTTTGAGCATCTTTTCACAAGTTTATGGGCCACTTGTACATTTTCTTTGAAGAAATGTTTACTCAAGTCCCTCACCCACTTTTTAATTGGGTTACTAGTCTTCACCTTAAGTTAGGTCACAATCTTTTAAAAATTGTCAATGCAACAAATACTAAGTCACTTAGAGTAGACAACATACTTGAAAATAGCAAAAGCCAGCCTAAGTTAAGGGTGATGAACACCATGAATGATCAGTGCAGATCTCTTCTAAAAGCCAACTATAACAAAAACCTAGTTCTCAGCTAATATTGTGAGCCCAGTTGCTATTCTTGGACCTTGTCAATTTCTAATAAATAGTTTCTTGTTCTTTGAAATGTGCATGAGGCATACTCACTTCCAGTTCTATCGAAAGGTCCCAAAGACATATTTGTCCATCGTGGCATCCAGTGACAATGGTGGTCCCATCATCTGTTAAAAGAACTGCTGAAATACAGTGTGTTGGTGCTTTGCGACCCCAAAGAACGATGGGTAGAACTAGGCTATTTCCTGCCATGGTGTCTTCAAATCTGAAAATATATAAGAATAATGTCAGCTCAAACGATATTTCTCTTGCAAACATGTTACACATTTTTATTATGAAGTCAACTTACACAATCTGAAAACAAGCATGCAATCCTTTTAGTCATTTAAACACTCACTATTCCCGAGCAGAAATGACTAGCTTAAGCCAGTTTCAGGTCCCCAAAACTAAGGCATTTTGTTGTTGTGAAGTGTTGCGGACCGTGTAAGACTGGTCAGAGGTTCAAGGCCCTATAGGCCCGAGTGTAACAGATGTAGCCACTTGGCAGTTAATAGCAAATTGTTTTTCATCAAATTGTTTACTCATATTTATTTAATTCCAAACATGAGCCCTGGATGTCCACAGAGAAATGCAATATTCCC